CTGGGCCGGGCAGGCAGCGGGCCCCGCGGCGGGCGCCGGGCGGCTGGCGCGGGGGCGGAGGCGGCGGCCTGGAGGCGCCGAGCGGAGGCGCGGGGCCCCGCAGCTCCGCAGCCACAAGCAGGTCGCCATGGCAGAGACGACAGGAAGCAGGCAAGCGGGCGCGCGCGCGCGGAGCGCGTGGTCGAGGGGGGCGGGGGCAGTGGGGAGGCGGCGAGGACGCGCACGAGCGGGCTGGAGGAGGCCGGGATCGAGCAGCGCCTTCTCCCGGGGCTGAGCGCGCCGCGCCACCCTTCGGACCTTGCCCCGGCGCTGCGCCCTTCTCTCTGCGCGCGCCCTGCTCCTGGGAGGGTTGGGGCCGACGGTGGGGAAGCCTCGCGAGTTGCTGCACCTGCAGACGGCAGTCACCTTTGCTCTCTCGTGCTCATTTGCCTGCAGCTCCTTCTGACCCCTCAACTGCTGCGGGACAACAGCTCTCACCTCTTATCATCCCCCAAATCCGCATCCCCCGCCTCAGGAATTCGTGCTTGGTCCTTAAATGTGCCAGTGCCTGCCCCAGCTGCCAAGGTCATGATCATGTTTCTTCATGGCTGCAGCTTCTGCCACACGGGATTTGGGGTGATGGTTCTCTGAAGGGGAGAGGTGAGGCTCCACGTTCTGCCCGTATGCTCTCTGGGTGTGTGTCCAAGTCTTCTCCTAGAGATGCTCCTAATGAATAACTGCCTTGGAGATAAACAGACTTGGATCTAAACTCAGAATCTGTTGCCAACAAGCTGTGTGACCTTCCACAAATTAACCTTAGTCCTATCATCTATAAAACCGAACAATACCTATCCCGTAGGTTTGGTGTGAGATAGTGCATAATGCTTATTCGAGTTATTACATTCGATTCAGTGTGGTGTTCAAACTCATACTAGCTGTCCTAGGTCAAGCCACTAGTAAGATTAAAGTTAGGTCACCAACTAGTAAATGAAACCATGTGTCAAAATTGAATCAACCAAGGTATAAGGTCACCTTTACATAAGGTTCTTCCTCCTTTCAAAAATTAGATGTAGGCCAGAATTCCAGAAGCAGTAAAGAAGCTTAAATCTTAATGAGAATAAAAATTAAAATAGCAGGCCTTTACTGGGAAATTGTGGGTTCAAAGAAAGCCCAGCCCTATGCGTTGATTTTAGGGTCACTAGTCTGAACATATCTCCCATTCTTAATTCCTACAGACTTGAGAGTGTCTTGCTGGCTTTGGGGGAGTGTGTGGGCTCTTCAGCCTTTTTCTAGGACACTGGATTTTTTTCTAGGACATTTGCAAAATGCTGAGGTAGTAACTTTAAATTTTGACTGCTTTTGCTGAATCAGTTCCATTTAGTTTTGAGCCAGTCACACCTGGCAGAAGTGATAACAGCCTAGTTTAATATTTTGTGTGTGTAGACAGTTTTACACTCTTTTCCTTCTTTGTTTTATTGCAGAAATTGGGGAGAGCGAGGGAGGCCTAATAGGAATGTCAGCCAGTGGGTATCACAAGAACTTGGGAGCTGGTGTGTTTACATCTACTTCCTGCAGAGGGAGCTCTACTGATAGTCTATTTCTACCGGTTTGGGAAAAGTGCCCAGGTGAGGCCTCAATCGAGGCCCAGAAAAATGAAGTTATCTGTTGCTGCCCCTCTTTTATCCTAAAATTGTTCCAGTCTGCTTATATTTTAAAGTTATTTTTCAAACTGTGCCCACTTCCCTTCCCAGCTGACCTACTTCTCCATTAAGCCCAGGAATCATGATACTTCTATGGACACGCAAAAAGGTTTAATTTCTTCTAAAATCAGAAGAAAAAAATGAACTTTATGGTATATTGATATATTAGTCCAATGCTGATGTAAAATGTGATATTTATTTATTTTATTTTTATCAAAGGAAGCGCTTCACAAGGCAAAAGTGCCAAAGCCTAGGAAATTCACTATAGGACCTTCCCTAACAGAGACATAGAGATTTTTAGTAACACATGCAAGGTCACCCAGATAGAAAGAAGGTAGCATAACAGGGATCTAGATGAAACCTGAGACCCTCTGACTCTCAAACCCCTATTTCTTCTACCTACTCCTTGATATAACTGCATGTTTACTTTTCAGCTTACGTCTATTTTTCCAGAAGTACTCTAGATGATAGAATTGTACTGTCTTGTTTATGACAAAACTACTTGTATTAGGAAAGGAAGGTGTGTGATTGAAAGAAAAAAATATATATTTATTTTAATATATTTATTATTTCCATATATTTATTATTTGCCAGATAGTTTTCTTAATACTGCCAGTTATGTTTTAACTTGCCTTAAAGTCATATCTTTGATGTTTTCATGGTTACAAAAATAATATAAACGATAAAAATTCAAGCAACATTCAAGCATAAAGGCCATATTCAGAACAATCACACTGCCTAAGCAGATAATTCCTTCCTATATTATTACATTCATAAATGTTTATCATTCTTAACCTTAAATACAAAAACTACATAATAACAAATTTGAGATTAGAATTACATAGTAACCAAACTCATTTCTTTTTCTGGTGCTTTTTGGATGGGTTTGTTTTATTATATCTGGTCAGATATTGTTCCCTGAAAGCATTATTTTTTTTCCCCTGGTGACCCTTTGCAAATGTTTTATTGTCACCATTGATTGACTACACTTGGCTGTTCTGAGTGTACCAAGGCCCCAATTTATAATTGCTACCACCTTGCCCACAGACTTTATAAGGCCCAGAGTGAGAGGGAGGCAAACAGGCAAACTCAAAGGTTTCCGGTGCCCAGAAGAGACATGGGAACCTGCACACATAATGTGGATGGTGGACACTGAGCAGGGCTCAATGCTCTATCGAAGGCACTCCAGCTGATTGTCATGTCCCCTGGGAATGTCAGCTCATGAGGCGGTTCTCTTATTTGCTTTTAAGAGTACTAGAGATCTAGATTTCTATGTGAATTTTGTCATTTAAAAAATGTTGGCCAAAGTTTATAAAACACCCTGTTAGTCAGACAAAGCACATCAGCTATGGCCTCTGGTCTAAAAGTAGTCAGAAGCAGCTGGGCCTGCTGCCCTCAGGTCAGGGGAGAGCTGCACGATTCATTTCCTTGGCGCTTTGCAGGAGGCCGAGGTAAGGTTACAGAGGACACTGTTGGCAGACAACTAAGTGTCTTAGATCTTCTCACCTTCTACTCATCCTTCTTCAGCTAACCTGAGAGTAAATACCATTTCCTTCCACATTTTTAGGAGCTCCTCTCTCGCTTTTACTGTATAATGTATATAATTTTTGCTTTAAGATGATCATCATTTCTATGAAGAGCCTAGTTTTTCGTACGGATTAAGGACAATTGGTTGGCTACTTCATGACAGTATATTTTGAACCTAACATTTTCCAAACACTCATTTCCGAGCCCTAACTGCTCCCTCCCCTCTACCTCCCAAGTGAAATCAGCTTCTTTACTTGGACTGCAGGAATCCGTCCTTGCAAAAGGCTGTGGATAAGCCCTATTAGAACAGCCAGAGGTAGAGAGACCAGGAGTGGTTGCTCTTGTGCAATTCCATACAAGTGCCAGTATCTATTGCCAAATACTGAAAGAAAAGCCGGTTCCAGCTGATCACCATAAAAGCTTTCCCAGCACTCAGGACTTTGAAGGTTTCAGAGGCAGGGCAACCTGGTAAATGTGTGGGAAGGATGCTTGAGAAAGCTACCCTCATAAGATGAGGCAGTTCAGTATTGACTAGCAATATGCACAGGTAAGCTTTTTTTTTATTTTTAGCAAGCAAGAAATATTTGGAGACAAATTTGCTTGCATCTCCATGCAAATTACATGTTAAAATGAAATCCAGAGAAAACCTCAGAAGATACAATGCCACCACCTAGCGGCTTTTAGATTTCATTTTATTCTCCCCCCTACTCCCCAGGAGGACAGAGTTTGTTTGTTGTTCTGGTGAAGCTAAACAGTAGTTGAACAGCTGACTTCATTGGAAAACGATATTATTTTGAAACGAGGTTTGGTTTTCTGGGTCAGTGACCTGCTTAGAGGGAAGTAGTGGGTTTGCGCCTGGATTGTGGAGTCACAGTGCTGCTGCGACTCTGAGCATTCCCCTGTCACCGAAGGAGGCAGTGAGGAATGAGAGCATGTCTGTTTTTAGGTTGTGGCCTGGCCTGCTGATCGTGCTGGGTTCCTTTTGCCCTAGAGGTTCACCGTGTGGTGTTTCAACACACGTAGAAATAGGTAAGTACTGGTGCCTTGCTATGTTATTGAGAGTACAATCCATCTGTCAAAAGATATTAAGAAAGAGATGAAAATCTATTCCCATGAATTGATACAATTTCCCCCACTGCATGGAGCAGCCTGACATCCTGTACGAGAAGCCATGGCTGCAGTTATTCAGGGATGGAGAATGACAGGGTGGGCTCAGTGGAGGGGCAAATAAGCAAGAGCTGGTGCACCTTTGTTCATACAGCCCCTGGGTATTTCTCTGGGTGGGGAAATAGTGAAAGCTCGATAAACTGGAGACTGCAATGCAGCAGAAGTACTGGTAGAATGGGAGAGGAGAGAGATGGGTGGAAGATGGTAGAGTTAAGGGTCTATTTTTCTTGTTTTACCTTTCTAAAAACACGCATTTCCAAGGATATGTGAGTCTCGTGTGGCCATGGGGATGGATCCCCTGAGTCAAGTGACTGTCAAGGTGCTTGACTTCAGTAAGGTCAGGAAAGCAAGGGACTTTGGTCATTGGCATTAGAGGTGCCCAGTAAGTTGGCAGGAGGAGAGCAAGCTGGTACCACTGACACCAGGTGCAAAGACAGAGCTATCTGAATAGATGGTAGCACAAATAATTGGTTTTCAGTTTATTTTTTCTGCTTTATTGAGATATAATCAACAAAATTGTATAAATCTGAGGTATACAACATGATTTTGATATATATTTTGGTTGTGAAATGATCATAGCAATCAAGCTAATTAATATATCTGTCATCTCACATAGGTTACTTTTTTCTTTTCTTTTCTTTTTGCATATGTGTTGAGAATACTTAAGATCTACTTTCCTAGCAAATGATTTAATTCTTGTATGGGATGTATTTGCAATGTGTGGAAAATGTGAGCTGATGTATAGTAGAATTAGCTATGATTATATTCTACAGCAATTTTCAGATTAATTTCATATATACCTGATGTTCTGGGTTCTCTTTAATTTATATAAAAACAGTAACAGTATTTTAGTTATACCACTTCCAGAAGTAATAATAATTTTAATAATAATAATAATTTTGTTAAAGAATAACAAAATTATAGGCTGGGAGCAGTGGCTCACACCTGTAATCCCCACACGTTGGGAGACTGAGGTGGGAGAATCATTTGAGCCCTGGAGTACAAGACCAGATTGGGCAACATAGTGAGACCTCATCTCTGCAAAAAATTAAAAAATGAGCCAGGTGTGGTGGTGTATGCCTGTAATCCCAGCTATTCGGGAGGCTGAAGTGGAAGGATCACCTAAACCCAGGAGGTCGAGGCTGTGGTGAGCTGTGATCATGCCACTGCACTATAGCCTGGGTGACCCTGACTCAAAAAAAAAAACAAAAATTGTAGATATAATATGAAAATGTATCACTACAAGATAGACCTAGGTATTGGGCTAAGGCTGACAAAAAGCTATGATTAAAGAATTTTACTATCTGAAAGGACACTAGAGGTCATTGAGTCCAGTTATTTTATTATAAGAGATGAGAAAACTGATCCCAGACAGTTTTACAGGTAACTTGTTAGGGGCCTGGCCTAGAATTACATGTCCTGACAGCTGGTCCACTGTTCTTTCCATTAAACATTTATTGCTAAAATGGAGTCAGGAAACAATGAAAAAGAGACTCAGTTGTAGGTTTTAACTTGCTAGTAAAGTAGACTCTGAGCAATTTATCTTACCTACCTCTCGATTCCATACAATGATGGAGTTGAACTTAATGAATTCTAAAGTATCTTCCAATTCTAACTTCTGTGAAGTTGAAATTGCCAAAAACTATAGAGTGAACTGAAAAGGAACACATATAAATGGAAATATTCAATTCTTTAAGTACTTTGAGTTTAAAAATTTACAAGACAGATGACAGCTGATACTATAATCAGATTAGATAACGACTTGCTTTTCTTCCTTGAGTGTCAAACAAAGGTCCTAATGGATATTTAAAGAGCAATATCTATTTATATGAGCATAATTGAAGTCAACTCCTGAAATAGAATCTGCACAGATTCTGAAACTTTTATGTAAAAGAAGACTACAACTCCATCATTTATTACTAATAACGTAGTTAGTTTTATAAATATTTTGATTCACTTTTTCATTTCTTATAAAGGGCCTGAGTGGAAAGTTGGTATTATGTGAGTTAATTAGAATTGGCTTCATTCAGCATAAATTGCTGGAATCCTACAAACAGGTTATTTGTGTGGGTTGTGACTTGTGTCTTATGGTTGCTATGCTTATAACATAGTAGTGGCTATATATTTTGTTGTATGAATTTTTAAAATAAAGATAAGTGTCACCTTCAAATGCCTCTTTACAAGGAATGTTAATTTTCCTATTGATTCTCAGGAGATTCAGACTGTGGGTGTGTGTCTATATGTGGGTGGGTGTGGGATGAAGTAGGTGACCTTCTGATGATTTTGTCCTTCCAAACTGGTTCCATTATGAAAGAACATTTGAGAACCATTGATTTAGTCGATGGGTTAGGCCTTATATTGTATTTTAAACTTAGATTTATCTCCCTAAGTTCTGAAGCAAAATATGATGTTGCCAATCTCTTTTTTCCTGACCTCCTGCTATGTGTCAGTCATGGTGCTTGTCACTTAGCATTTTTTTTTTCTGAGTCTCTCAACCAACCTACAACATGGGTATTTTTAATTTTTTTTACTCAATTTTCCATAGGAGGCAGCTGAAATCTAGAGAGTTTAAGTAACTTACCCAAGGTCATAGTGCTAGTTAAGCAGAAACTAAATCATCATGTAAATTTGATTTGTATTATAACAGTTTAAATATTGCACCAATCTAATTATGCCTAATGAAAATTGCAAGTGAGTACAAACTTCAGTTTCATTTCTTGCATCCTTGACAATTGCAACCACAAAAGTATATATTTTCCTTTTAAAATGATATTTGGTAAGTTATGTTTTCAGTAATAGTTGAACTTAATTGATTTATGTACTTTTTTCTCTCAGGACACAGAGCTCTGGAGTTTCTCCGTTTTCAAGATGGGCATGTTAACTACAAAGAGGTAGAAAGCTGGATTTTTCTTTTATTCCTTGTGCATTAATTTTCTTCTGTAGGTGCCAAACAAAGGTCTTAACTGATATTTAAACAGTAATTTTGAGATTCATTTCTTATGTCTTTATAAAACATTGACTTATTATTAAAAGGTATATGTCACCTTTTATTTCTTTATAAAACATTAATGTATGGTTAAATGATATATGTTCCCTCCAAATATGTCATCTGAACATTTTATGTGTATCTTACATATGTTGCATTTAAAATTTAAAGATTTTAATGATATGAATCATAATCTGAGAAATAATGTTTTAAATGGTACTTTTTTGGTTTTTATAAAGAATAGTTATACTTGAGACAAGTCATTTATTTTTCACTTCTTGGCATTTTGTCTTGTACATTAAGTGCATCACCAGGAAGAGAAGAAAGTATTTATTAAGATGTATGCATTGAGATGCTCCTTTGGACTTCTCCTACTATATTCTTCTAATCCTGTTGGGACTACCTGATGACTTACCTTCAGCAGTCCCCAAATGAACACATTCTGGACTTGATGCATTAGTTCTAGTTTCTGTGGCTGAACTTGATGCATTAGTTCTAGTTCTATGGCTAAGTAATACTTTGTGACAAAGATAATTCCTTCATACCTACATTCGAAAAAAGTGGTTAACATTCCCTCATGACATCAGAATTGGATCACATTATTACCAGTAAATCTTGATAATTCAGTACAGAAAGCAGGATGGTAAGACAACTAAAATTTATTGTATCTCCAAACCATTTTTAGTTATAAGATTCAACTTCCTTACTTGTCAATCTAACAGTGACTATAGGAAAAAAATGGTATTTTTATATGATGATCATCTTCACTGACCTTGAAAGTAGACAGTAACTAGAAAGAGATGCAAGAATCTGCCTGATTCATCACATGAACTTGAACCCTTGAGTATGTGTGAGTGATTTTCTAGTAGAGCTATTGAAACTTGTATTATCAACTTAATCTAAAACATGTTAAGTGGATGGAGATACCCCCTCTCGGTATGAATTCTAATCCAAATACTGATGTCATCACTGGAAATGACTAAGTGTCCTGAGTCCTTACAGTTCGCCTTGTATCTTATGAGACAGATAGGGATTATTTTATCCTTTATAAAATTATCACCAAGTCCTTTTCCAAGATTGATGATCCATTTTATATCTCTCACCTTATTGATGCATTGTGGCAAAATGATACAGAGGGAAGTGACCTGAAGGGTACTAGTTGGCTGTGTGGACAGGTCCTCACAGGCAGAAAATGTTTTGGCAAGACTTGCACAGACAGAGTCTGCATTTTGTTGTCTAAGGAATTGTCTTTTATTTTATTTTAGTTTATTATTACTTTTTTCAGACAGGGTCTCATTCTGTTGCCCAGGCTGGAATGCAGTGGCACAATTTTAGCTCATTGCAGCCTTGAGCTTCTGGGCTCAAACCTGACTTAACTTCTCAAAACCCTGGGATTACAGACATGAGCCACCACACCCAGTCCTATTTTTTGTTAAACAGGTCCAGAGGTCACCGCTCTTCAAAGACTTTGACTTAAACTGACCAAATTTATAGGAGAATAATGCATAAACTGAAAGACGGATATAATATAAATTTATAAATAAACTCACATTGATCGTTATCATTGCATTGATATTTACTCTCTTTCTACAAAAATAAGTGGAATATGGTATGTTAAGCATGAAATCAGAACAATGGTAGTTGTTTGGTTGGTTGTCATCCTCTCTCTGCCACATCCCTTAATAGAAAATGTTTTGTCTTTTCTAATTGTAAAATTGATAGAAATGCATTGTGGAAAAAAGAAAAAAATCTTGGCTAGGCATGGTGGCATGTGCCTGTAATCCCATTTACTTAGAAGATTGAGGTGGGAGGATCACTTGAGCTGGAGTTCGAATTCAGCCTTAGCAACATATTGAGACCCTGTCTCTAAGCGAGGGTCTAATCCTGTCTCTAAGAGAGGGTCTAATGTTTTAAATTAAATTGATAATACAAGTTTCAATAACTCTACTAGAAAAATACTCTGCACATGCTCAAGGATTGATTGTTCACATGATGAATCTAAACAAACAATTCTCAGAGATAACCAGTATTAACATTTTACTTTATATCATTCCAGACATTTTCTCTGCATTTATTAGCACCTTTTTTTCCAAACAAAAGATTACACTCTAACACTGCTTTATGATTTTTTTCATTTAATGTGTCAGAGATGTATTTCCATGTCAATAGAAATATTCAGAATAATTTTTTAACAATTAAATATTTTTCTATTATTCAGAAAATACCATAATTTATTTAGCCAATTCCCTATTTTAATTTTTTATTTTGAAATAATTTAAAATAGATAGAAAAGTTGGAACAATTAGACACATCATTTCCATATGCCCTTTACCTAGTTTCCCCAGTTGTTGACAGCTTATCATATTTGCCTGTTTGTGTATTCTATTTATACACACTGATTTTTTTTCCCCCTGAAGCATTTGAGAGTGCTACTCATTATCCTTTAACACATCATTGTGTATTTCCTAAAAACAAGGACACTGTCCAACATAAGCACAGTATAATAATAGTAACCAGGAAGTCAGCATTGAAATAGTACTATCACCCAATTCTCAGACATCATTCAAATTCCACCAGTTGTCTGAATAATGTCCTTTATGGGTCTAGGCCAATCCAAGATAAGAACTAAATTCAAGAGTTGTATTTAGTTGTCTATTCTCTTTGACTTCCACCCATTTAGACCAGTTCCTTAGATCCATCTTGTCTTTAATGACCTAGCTATTTTTGAAAAGTTTAATCCAGCAACTCTGTAGAATGTACCTTAATTTGGTTTCATCTGTTAGTTCCTCATGATTAGATTTTCCTGAAGTTTGTGCCTAGCAGCCCCAAAGGAAAGCAGACATTTTCCCAGAGCTCTAACTGAGAAGTTTGGGGAAATTGCTAAGCTTAGCTTCAATCAAAGTCCATTTCTGGACCAGGTGTGGTGGCTCATGCCTGTAATCCAAAGCACTTTGGGAGGTTTAGGTAGTAGGATTGTTTGCATTCAGGAGTTTGAGATCAGCCTGGGCAATATAGCGAGACCTTGTCTCTATAAAAAAATTTAAAAAATTAGCCAGGCATGGTGATGCGTGTCTGTAGTCCGAGCTACTCCAGAGGCTGAGGCAGAAGAGTCACCTGAGCCCAGGAGGTCAAGGCTGCCGTGAACTGTGATCATGCCACTGCATTTTGGGTGCCAGAGTGAGATCCTGACTTAAAAAAAAAAAATTCCGTCTCTAGTGGGGGTGGTTGTGTGGCTACTTATCCCTGTGATCAGCTTCTCCTTAGGAGAGAGTGATTCTATCTCTAGAAGAGGGGGATTGGGATACTGTTTGGAAAAACACAACTAGAACACAGGTGATACTACCTTTCCTTGTGTTTTACGTTATTGAGGTACTTCTTTTGTTGCCTCCGTGTATGGTCCACATTATTAGCAAGTCCTTAATGGGAAAAAAGAAAAAAGGGACTTGACTTTTACTTTACTTCGTGTGTCAATCAGAGTTTATTTGCAGATCATGGGATCCCCTCTGCCTAGTTTAGGCAGGAAAGGGTATTCACTGCTTACAAACTGTGAAAACTGGAGGAGCAGGCTCTAGGCTGAGTGTCCAGAAAGGACTCTGAGAACCAAATACAAAACTGGCCTGCCAAGGAGCCGCTACCTGTGCTGTTGTTAGACAACTGTGGCCCTATTTGCTAGCTCCAGATTCAATGGTCTCATACACAGTCTCGCACACGGTTTGGAAAATAAGAAGCCACCACCCTGACTAATCTGGGACCTTATCACCTCTGCCATGCTCCTCGCTAGCAAGATTGGTGCCCTGTACCATGCCTGTGAACACATGGGAAGCCAGAGCTGCAACACTGGGGCCTCTGCTACCTCTGCCGCAGAAAAACCAAGCACTTCTACATTAGCCAAAGAAGCAAGTGGGTTCCGTGGTGAAGGCTGGGCCACTTTAGACTCTGGGCCAGACAGTCTGGGAAATACAGTCTTTGTTTTCTAGGCTCTAGCACACAACTAGATACACTATATGGGAGTCAGAGTGGAACTGACTAAACCAGTCAACCAAGGAAGAACATTTAAAAGAAAACTTCGACCATCTGCTTTCATATCATTGAAAAAGGGCAAGAATTACTTTCAACCCTCCAAAAGTACAAAGGATACAATTCTACAATAAAGCACAGATGGCAACTATAAACTTATATAAACACATATGTGCATGTATTTTTTGTGTTTACATATATGTATATATGTGTATGTGTGTGTATACAGAGGGTGCCCAAAAACGTATACACTTTTTTTTGTGTGTTGAAGTCTCACTCTGTCTCCCAGGCTGGAGTGCAATGGCATGCTCATGGCCACTGCAACCTCGACCTACTGGGTTCAGGTGATCCTTCTGCCTCAGCCTTCCAAGTAGCTGTAACTACAGGCACGTGCCACCACATCTGGCTAATTTTTTGATTTATTGTATGGATGAGGTCTCATCAAGTTGCCCAGGCTGATCTCGAACCTATGGGCTCAGGCAGTCCTCTCACCTCAACCTCCCAAGGTGCTGGGATTATAGGCGTGAGCCACCCCGCCCAGCCCATATACAGTTTAAGAAAGGAAAAAACTGTATTAAAATTGTCATACTTAATATATACTGATAACAAAAGATGAATACAAGTCACATTTGACTTCTGTAATTACAAGAGGTGCTCAAAGTGGTTACCATCAATGTCTAGGCACTTCTGATTATGGTGCACTACTGCAGGACTTGTTGCTGTGCCGGACCTCCCTGATCTTCTCTTGTGCACATCACACACAGTACCGTATGTCTCAAACTTATTAAGAACGTGTGCAATTGTTAGGCATGTTGGAGGTTCTGTTGTAAACTCACTCCTCCATTGTACTTCCACAATGTTCTTGAATTTCAAATACCATTTCAAAATGGTCTTGAGCTTCTTAAATGACAACTGTGCTTCCCGCCATCTTCTTTGACTATCTTGCCTGTTGTATGGTGACATTAGCATTAATTTGGTTAACGCCATCTTTTGAGCAAATGTCATACTACACATTGCTACTGTAATTCAATTCAACTTTGAAAAGTATTACCTAGATAACGTCTTTTAAAGTGTGTATACATTGTTTTGACAACCCCGGTATATATCTGTATTTTTCCCATTTCAATGTGGATCATTGAAAATCTTATCAAAAACCAGCTCTGGGTCAGTGAAATAGCCTTAGGGAAATCTTGCTCTACTAGGTAGAAAGAGAAAATGAAAGATTAAATTTAAATGTGATTTTGCAACTCTTTTTTTTTTTTTTTTGAGTCAGAAGTCTCTCTGCCACCCAGGCTGGAGTGCAGTGGCATGCTCAGGGATCACCACAGCCTCTCGAGGGATCCTCCCTCCTTAGCCTCTTGAGCAGCTGAGACTACAGGCACATGCCACCAAACCTGGCTAATTTTTTTTTGGGGGGGGGTACAGATGAGTTTTCTCTTTGTTGCCCAGGCTGCTCTAGAACTCCTGGGCTCAAGTGATTCTCCCACCTTGGGAGAATCACTTGATTCTCCCAAAGTGCTGGAATTCCAGGCATGAGCCACCATGCCTGGCCGATTTTGCTACTTCTTAATCAGCCTGTCTGTGTTTGTAGGAAGATCCCAAAATTATATTGTAGTGTGTTGTCTTAGATTATGCATGAGTTTTTACCATTTATTTACTTATGTCTGCCTCCTATTCTTCCTTCTTTTTCTCCTTGTTCCATTTATACCCCCATAATTCTAGCATCTCATCACTGGAGATTGGTGGAGCCCACACTCCCCAGGTTATTGACTCTTGCCTCTAATCTCTATATTTTCCTGCTTCTCAGTTGTTACTAGAACATCAGGATGCATATCAGGCTGGAACTGTGTTTCCTGATGCTTTTTACCCTGGCATCTGCAAAGGAGGTAAGATGAAGATTTGCAGACTAAATGGTGACATTTATTTGGTTAATGGGAATAGCTACGACTTAAAGCTGTGTATAGCACAATATATTTTTTATTACTGTTGATCAATGACTTAGTTTACATAGCTGCATTTTCTGGTTAGTCAAAGTTTACCTGCTCAAGCATAGACATTCCGAAAACCTTAACTATTTTTTGATAGAAACCATTCTAAGCATGTTTACTTCCTTTATTGCTTCATGGCATAAGAGAAGACAAAAGAAGATCCAAAGGTCTGAGTTTGTGTTCCTTTATTATTGCCTGTTAGCATGTGACCTTGAAAAAGTGACTTATACAGAGTCTCAGTTTCCATGTCTGTAACGTAGCAATGATAATGCCTGCCCTGCTTCTTCACTGGATATAATAGTACAGTATTTTGTCAAATCTAAGGTAATGTTTGTAAACTGGGCTCCTGCGTTGTATCACTCAGGGTCCCATTAGGACACAGAAGGCATGCTCAAACTGAGTAGTTGGAAGGGATTAATAAGGGCACCATTTTCAAAGGTGCAGACAGGAGGTGAGGAATTACAAGGGATAGTACAGGAGATGGAGCCACTGATTACTGAAATTGCAGACAGAGAGAGTTGCATGGGGAAGGCCACTTGACAGGAGCTAAGCCTTCAGCCGAAGGACACGGCCAGCCCACTGTGACCTCACAGAATGGGAGTGAGAGAATAAATACCCCAACCTCTTTGTCATCCTTTTCTCTGATCTTACCAGTTCTCTCCTTTGGCCAAACCCAACCCAACCAAAGCCAGAGGGCAAAAAAGCCAGTTGAAGCTGGTGACCCCAGAGTGGATGCAGAGGGACAAGCAGAAGCCTTCCTGCATACTGGGTCCTCATGTAAATCATTTCTGGGGTCTCTGCTCATCTGCCATCATCTCAATCCTTTAATACAGTGATGCCTTTAGGGCCAATGAAATGTTTGGGACTGCTCACTCCTGTAGTCAGAATCCCAGACAGTCTAGCCTTTGTATTTTCTCATATTTATAAGTAGTTTTTTTCTGTTTTCCTCTTAGTTTGTTAACAATCTTTTCTCAATCCTATTATTTTGCCTGCATGTTTTAGTTCTCCTTCTTTCTAACCTATTATTTTTAATATACCATTTTCCAAACTATATTCATGGGAGCTCCTGATATTTTTAATAATCCCATGATATTTTTAATAATCCCTTGATATCTTATACAAAAAAAGAAAGAAAAAATATTTCTGGTTCATTAAATTTCAGAAACATGGCTTAATGTATGCCATTTTTAGAAACAGATAAAACACACATTAATGAGGTTCCGAGAATGGTGAAAAACTATTTACCTAGCATTTTCTATTTCTTTTATAAAGCAGTAAATACTCTTATGTGATGTAAAGATTGGGACCAAGGTCAATTAGAATTATAAAATACATAATGATTACAAGGAATTTGAATACAAGTTTCTCTTAGGTTTTATGAATTTTTTTCCCCAAATCTTAACCTTGTCTCATACATATCTAATTCAACAGTAGTTTTCTTTTTCTTTGGTGATTCATTTTTTTTTTTTTTTTTTGAGATGGAGTCTCACTCTGTCGCCCAGACTGGAGTGCAGTGGCCGCTTCCGGCCACCGCAGCCTCGCCTGCTGGTCTCCTGCGATCCTTCTACCTCAGCCTTCCGAGTAGCCGGAATTACAGGCATGCGCTACCACGCCCAGCTGATTTTTTGATTTATTGTAGAGATGAGGTCTCGCTGCCCAGGCGGGTCTCGAACCCGCGGGCTCAGGCAATCCACTCACCTCAACCTCCCAAAGGCGCGGGATTACAGGCTGAGCCACCGAGGCCGACTGGTGATTCATTTTTATTGCATCCTTGGAAAACACTTAACTTTCTTTAGATACTTAGTTGCCATGGAAAAAATTCTGTTTCTATACTCATTTCATTCGTTTACCTATTATTGAATTAAATTTTATAATTACAAAAACAAGGACAACAGAATTAAAACAGACCTGATTGACCCTTGGTGACAATGCAGGTGACAATGCAGTAGGACAATGCAGACAGATGCACTCAGACCTCTGGACAGTGGTACCAGTTGTCAGCATCCAGCGTGCCTGGAGCAGGAGCTTTCTTTCTTTCTTTTTTTTTTTAATAAAAATAGGATCACACTCTGTCACCCAGGACAGAGTGCAGTGACACGATCATAGCTTATAGCAACCTTGAACTCTTGGGTTTAAGTGATGCTCCTGCCACAGCGTCTCGAGTAGCTGGGGCTACAGGCATGCATCGCCACAACTGGCTTTTTTTTTTTTTTTCCGTTAAGATGAAGGTATCACTGTGTTGCCCAGGGTGGTCTTGAATGCCTGACCTCAAGCGATCCTCCCACCTCAGCCTCCCAAAGTGCTAGAATTATAGGCGTGAGCTACTGAGCCCAACTCCTGAGGGAACTTTCTTTTTCTTCCTGTCTATATGGCTTCAGAGGTACCGAAGAGCTTTGGTTAATTTGTGTTAAGGGGGGGGGGGGGGGGGGGGGGGAAACTAAGACAAATTAAATTGAACAGAGTTTAACTGAGCAAAAGAATTGGGCGCTTCCCAAACTAGAGCAGGCTCAGAGAGACTGCAGCACAACTACATGGTGAAAGATTTGTGGACGGAAAAAGGAAACTGATGTACAGAGAATCAAAGTGAAGGATAGAAGCAGCCAGATTGGTTTGCATCTCAGTCTATTTAAGCCCAGTTTGAATAGTTGACTGCCTTTGATTGGCCAAAACTAGATGATTGGCACAAGAGTAGGTTACAGTCTATTTATACATCCAATTTGGCTACAGTTCACCATGTGGAAAGGTGCAGAGAAACCTCCAAGTGGAACTGATGATATACAAGGGGACGGCTTTGGGCTAAACTTAATTTAACATTTGGCGATTTGGTGAAGTGGAGAGTGGTCAAAAGAACTACTGCTATACTTAATTCTAGAATTCTACTGTATTCTGGAGACCAGGAATTGCTTAAAGTTTTATCTCTAGGAAAACTGTTGGAACAGTTCCAACTTCTTAGAAAATAATTTTCAGAAAAAAAACAATGATTTAAAATGAGTTAGGCAAGTTTTACTTTAACAACAGCATAAATAATTTGAACAGAGGGGTCCAAGCTTGAGTTTTGCTTTCAGTTAGGCCCACAATATTAGATACCCCATAAAGGATTTGTGGCACTTACAGGTTTGGAATAGATGTCAGTTTTTATCTTTCCTACCCTTCCTGTGGGAATGAAGAGCTGCATGTGGCATCCACTGGCCCACTCAAATGATGTTTGTGATCATTGGGACCTGTGCCATTTTAAAACAGTTATAAATTTGAAGGCTTGAAAGTGTTTGAAATGTATGCTTTTGTTTTTTGTGCTCTTAGTGAGGGCTGACTTAGTGGGGACAAAGAAAATATATAATTTAAAACCCCAGCAAACAAACAAAAGCAGACACTTGTCTCTTTTGCTTTTGTCTCAAAAGCAAAACTTGACTCTAGCTTTGGAGCACCAAAACGGAAACATTTCTAGCCTCTATTTTAACCAGGTGATATGAGATGTTGTGAGCCACCTCGTCTCCTTCCCACTCACTCTAGGGCTCTAGTCATCAGGCAGACAGTACCAAGACTTTTCCACAATTTCATCTGACTTCTGTTTTGGAGGCCTTTGAATGTCAGCAGAAGGAACTTAGGGGCTTGGAGGGAAAGAGGAGGGGACACAGTAGCACCGCAGGCAGTGATGGAAAATTTGATCGAGACACTTGAACTTTTAAGAAAGAATCCAGAGCTCTGCTTTTGTTGTTGTTTTTTATATTCATCTGTGTACTTTTTTAAGCATATTTTTTATTTTAAAATTGTGGGGTACAGTTAAGGGCTAGGTATACAAATATGCATTGTTCAGGCATCCTTGTTGATAAGGGGTGGCCCCCCGTCCCCAGACAGATATTGACTACCGTGAATCCTACCTCCCTTCCCCTCCCTGGCACCCCCCCCATAGTCTCCCGCCACTGTCATTCCTTATCTTATAGTATTACAATAGATGTTCAAGGTCCACTTATGAGTGAGAACATGTGATACTCAGATCTTTGTTTCTGTGAGAGATCACTCAGTATCAT